TACATAGTATGTTATGCAAAGTGTCATAAGTTATTCTCATGGTGATAATGGTGTATTACCACCCTTCGACCTGAAACCACTATGGACCCTAGATGTAGAGTCGGGTGCTTTATTGCTGATCAAACATTATCCGTAACTGGATGATCATAAAGACAGTTGATGGGCACTCCACGAAGCATGCTGAGGGACATGAGTGTCCTAGATGGAATTTGCCAATCCTGCATAACAGGAGAAATGTCTAAGGGCCCAATATTGAACTGGACAAGGATGACACAGTGTATGCCTTGTGTTCAATATAGACATAGGGGCAAAAGGGTAATTGTACAAACATATATTATCACGAAAAAGGTTTTGTCAGATCACATGACACTTTCGTGACTTGGGTAGCAGTGATGTGTTGCTAGATACCGCTTACTGTTTATTATGTTAAATATATAATTTAATATAATTACCAACGTTACGAAATCCTACAGGGTCACACACATAAGGACAGTTTGATGAGAGATAGAGAAATCAAAGGAACACCGTAAGGTACGGTGCACTTAAGTGAAAAATAGAAATTCGGATAATATAATAATAATTATTGTTATTTTATAATGGTTATAAAATAATAATAAAATAAATATATTTATTATAATAATAGTTATTATAATAATATATAATATTATTATGGATCATGTGAATTGGGTTTTTAGCCCGCAACCCACAAGAGAGTCTATAAAAGGAACCCTTGTGATGAAGCTTTCACTTGATGCAATTTCGTTTTTGATTCTCTTTTCTCACTCAAATAATTCCGTTCGTAAGCAGCTAGCACTGTGACCGGAAGCTGTTCGTGTGGACTGAGTAGAGGCGTTGCACTTCATCAACGCTTGTGATCGCTGCATCAAAGATCTGAATCGCCACAAAGAGGTAACGATTCTATCACTGACCATGCTCATTCGTAAGGATCACTAAAGGAAATTTTTGTTTTCCGCTGCGTTTAGATCGCAATTTTCCTTCAGATATACTCACACATACATGTATCTTCAAACATTCCATTCATGCCAATTATCAACAACTTACATAAACATCTACAATCATGTTTATTCACCACACATCGTGCAAAGATGATAAATGCAAATCATAGAGGCCAACTCGCTACTCTACGCAAATGTAATACGATACCGACTTAATCGTCCATCAGATTCTCCTAAGAATCAATTTACTCATGCCCCTCACGGGTACACTATAACTCATCAGATTCTCCTAAGAATCGCATTGCTCATCAGATTCTCCGAGGAATCACACCGCTCATCAGATTCTTCGAGGAATCACATTGTTCATCAGATTCTCCGAGGAATCCCATTGTTCATCAGATTCTCCGAAGAATCACATTGTTCATCAGATTCTCCGAGGAATCACATCGTTCATCAGATTCTCCGAGGAATCACATCGTTCATTAGATTCTCCGAGGAATCACATTGTTCATCAGATTCTCCGAGGAATCACATTGTTCATCAGATTCTCCGAGGAATCACATTGCTCATCGGACTCTCCTAGGAATCCTATCACTCGTCAGACTCTCCTAGGAATCAACAACACAAGAATGTACTTCATGATGCATACATGTTTACAAACATACTCATGCATTCTTCACATTCATCGCATATATTCATTATGCATTCACAATATATATACATATCACAATACATATATACCTATTCACCATTCATTCACACCAATTCATACCTGGTTTATATTTACCATTCGATCTCAACATGCATTTCTATTCAATTCAAGTAAATGCTCCAAATTGCCAAACGACCACATTCCACACTTCACAAATCACAAACTAGGATTCACGCCATACGACTACCCACAACACACATAACAACATATAACTAGTCATCTCAGACAAGGAATGGTCGCAACCAAACCACACAACTAATCCACGAATAGAAAACACAAGAAAAGAAAATATGCTGCTGTGTTCACTAACCTTCGCCTGGCGAAGCCTCTGGCGAACCTTCGCTACTCTGTTCACCTGGCGAACTTGCCAGCGAAGACCACTGGGATTTATTCTAGAATTACTCGCTAGCACTCGCTAGCATACTCGCCTGGCGAACCTTTGCCACTCTCATTCGTTTGGAAAACTTGCCAGCGAAGACAGGGTGGATGCTTCTGACTTGGTTCGCTGCTGCTCGCTGGGCTTCGCCCGACGAAGCTTCGCTGCCATTCACCTGGCGAACCTGCAAACTCAGAAGACCCATGGCTGTCCAAAAGCCCAAACCTCACAAACCGACTGATTTAATCCAAATCAGTTCCAGTAGTACAACCCACTCATCACCCGACTATATTACACCGTCTATTCCAAATTCTAACCGATAAAACTCAGTTTCTACCGATTAAATCAACTTCCGACCTAGAAATGGAAACATAGAAAACAATCCAAAAAATCCAATCTAGCATATACATGATCATACACATTATGAAGATGATAAAACTTCTCACCCTTACCTGATTAACCGCATGTTAGGGTTTGATCTTGATATTTTCCAAAGTTTCCTCTTCTTTCTCTCCTCTTTCTCTTCTCCTTCTTTCTTTCTCTTTTCTTTTCTTCCTTTCTTACTATCTTTCTTTCTCTTCTATTTCCTCTTTAATATCTTCCTATTATTTTCCCAAAACATCTACTAACTCAATATCTCATAAAATATCCAACTTATCCTTAAATAGGAAATGTCCAAAATACCCTCCAACTATTTTCTCCGAAAACTCCCAAAATCGGGTAAAATAGAATAATATGTAAACATAACATATTTCCACGAAAATTCCACATCAAAATAATATTCGCCCAATTAAAATAAAAAAGGACTTAACGAAAAAGGGATAATCGAAATCGGGGCGTTACATCATGGCTTCACAAGCAAAACAAGTTTTCTATGTGACCGATCCTTCGAACACATCGGAGAAATGGTCAATAGTTCTCTTAAGAAAATACATTCCTAGTAGTGATGAAAGTTTTGATATTCCTTCTATCCTTCTTACACAACAAAAGTGCCTACCACTTATGATGAAGTTGATATAGATGATGTGCATGCTATTCGTATCGATCATAATGAAGGTATAAGGGAAAATTAACAAGTAATTATTATTTTATTCTTTATTCATAATTTAATTAATGTAAGTCATTATTTCTAAGTATATTTACTAACAAGTATGATTATTTGAAATTGTAGGTGTTTAAAGTCAATACACCAAGAGACAAGACACCAAAAGACAAAAAAATCAAAACACTGTAGCTACAATTATGTGATTTTATATAATGTTTGTAGATTATTTTGCGTCATTTTTCTTTTGATGTAATACATATACAATGTTTGGTTCTTAATCCAATATATGGATTTGATGTAATATAATACAATTCTTCATCACTATACAATTGTTGTTTCTGTTCTGATATGATTCAAAAAATACAGGTTAAAATATGGAAAAATTTTAAAATGCAGAAAAATCATTTTAAAAAAAGCATATTATTTAACGACGGTTGTAATATTTAACCATGATTGTATATTGACTGTTGTTCAGAATATATATTACATCAAAAGACGCGCTGGTGAGAATCGAATTTGTGACCTTTAATATATTACAGTGGTTAGTTATAGCAACATTGATCATATATAGCGCGCTTTCAGGTTTTCTACCACGGTCATAAGACCGTGATTGTCAGTAGCGCATATACAACCACACCCTACGTAACAACAGCATGTCACACATGATGTTATCCCTTTTCCAACCGTTATTGTATATGTTTTTCATAGTAGTGATAACTCCATTTAGAGGTTGTTCTAAGAATCCTCCGCTATATCAAGACTGCACATGCTCAATGATTTCTTTTCATGTCAACCTCAGACAACACTTTAACAGGGTTACATACTTTGATTGGGGATCATGTCAAGAAACAAGATGTTCCACGATGTTCCACAAGGTGCTTCTGTTTTTATTTAGGAAGCTCTACCATTTTCCAAAAAAGAAAAAATACAACATTTAGTTTCAAGATGTTTTCTAAAGTTCTAGCCAACATTATTCATCTCTTGCCTAAGTTTCAAGTCATATATTCACAAAAACTTTGCATCATGGTCCTTTTTCTGCTTTATCTCACAAACTTGAAATGTAAAAAATTCATTCTAGTTTGAAGGAGGGTGCTAAATAATTTAGATTTATGTTATTGGGCCTTTTTTATTTTACAGTTTATTTTAGTTAATTTGTTACAACAAACTCTCCTAGTTTATTGGGCTAGGATCTATGTATAAAGAAAAGCTCAATTGGATTGTTGGTTTAAAAATTGAGATGATAATAATTTTGATTTTTCTCTTTTGTTTTTTTCTATTTTTTCCTAATGGAAATTTATTGTTGGTTAAGGTGTCCAATATGCTACAATTAACATGTTCAAATCCTTTGGATGGGCAATAACCCAACTCCTTTCAACTAATATACTTATAACAATAAACCCTTCTTAAATATAACAACCAAGTAAGAATTTGGTGTTGGAGATTCTTTTAATTCATTGTGTTACATTGAAGTTTTGGTTATTCTATGGCAAAATACTAGTAAGTCCAAAGAGGAAAAACATGTATGTAAGAAAAATTGAAATAGATAGAGAAGAGGAAAATGAGAACTATAGATTAACCAAAATAAAAGTTTACTATTAATTTCTTCCCCTCCTTGTTCTTCTACATTAGCTTCTCCTTGTAAATACCTCCACCTCACCAATAAATAAAAAATAAATACAAGAAAAAGGCTAAACAAAATTGTTCATGAACTCAGAAAATTACTTCTGAAAATTATGGAACTTAGTAGAACTATATGTAGGGCTTTTATCTTCTTGTTCTCCTTCTTCACACCAATTTATATATATCTAATACACCTCTGCATGATGAAGTTATGTCATATTGTGGATTATAATTAAATGAATGCAAAAGTAATAGAGACAACTAATTAATATGGGAACCAAAGGAAATTAATTAGGCTTGTCCTTTGCCATTCCAATCTGGTATGCCTAATGTGAACTCCAAGCTTGGGTTCTTACACTCTAAATTAGATCCCGACAAATTGTTCTTCAGTTGATTCGAATCACAATCCTGCATGAGAAACAATCATTCGCAAATCAAATAATACGTATAAAAATAATTTAATTTGAATGTATTGTTATCGTAAAACCGTACTAGTTTATACATGTATGTATCAATCATTTCATATTGTCCATGAGATTTCTAACGGTTTTGGATTCTTTGCGGTCTGAGATTTCCCACACACGAATCCTGGACATTGTGGTTGTTCATTGAGCTTTTGATTATGTGATCTTAATCGAATGACCACTGATGTCCAGAATGTGGGAGATCTCGATAGTAGAAAAATTTAAACTCATTCATAACTTTGGCTAAATGATGTATTACAATAGATAAACATAACTAAATGCATATGAAAAGTAAAATGAAAAGCAACTTAACTATCACAGTGCATGAAAATTAAAGTCATATAGAAAAAAGTTTATACTCATAGTAGCATAAAGATTAAACCTATTATTAATACCTGAATTTGGTGCACTCCTGATATTGGTTGTGACTGGAAGATAGCTGGTCTGAAACCATCTACATCATTAGGACTAGTTTGTGGCCATGGTTCTCTACTACTGATCATAATCCAAGTAGATGAAAAAGACACAACCAAGAAAAAAATTTGAATCAGTTCAATGATTTCTATGCATAAAAAAGTAATGCATCAGTATATATCTATATACTTTGTAACAAACTATATACTAGTAAGTAATCATTTATCAAAAGTTCACAATGGCGTCTTCGAATGTCATGTCAGTTCGGTTTATAGCTGTGCAGGGACACCAGCAGTGAAGAAGTTAAAAGACCAGGGTTCACAATCGCTTATAAAACAAAACAAGTTCACAAATGAACAGAAAAAAAAAACACAATCATGGATGATATATTAATATGGCTAAGCAAGTAACATGCTAATCTACCAATTATACGGCAAAAGAATTCCAAATTTACTAATATGAGCATTGCATGATATACCTCCACTACCACAAATGTTTACTTAGTAGAATGATAATTTGTTTGTGTGGCAAAGAGATATTTTTTGTTTACTTAAGGTAATGTTTTTCAATCATTACAAACAGTGCTTATTATAAGATTTAATTAATATGCTCAGAAATTACTGAATAAGAGAAAGACATGCCTCTAAGATTTTAAAATATTATGGTTACTATAAAGGTAGAACTCGACATATATGAATATAGATTATTGCAGAGAATGTCTTGTGTCAACATCAAAATATTAGTTAACTATAATTAAGATTTTAAAGACATGTTTTATAACAAAAGAGTGAGTAATATATTTCAAAAACCTAATGTTTTTCTTTGAAAGAAAAATATTATTGAAGGTTGAAAATATTTCAAAATAAATTTGAGTTTAATGTAATCTACATGTTCAAAAATCAATTATTACAATAATGGAGTTATCATCAAATAAGCATTGGAATTAGTGATATGTTATGTTCTAGAGACAAACATAGACATAAGTCAAAGGGAGAAGAGAAAGAAAGGAAAAAAAAGCAAATTATAAAGCTTTGTGTTGCTTTTCTTTTATCTTAACTAATTAACCTTTGATTATGTCTTGTAGCATTCTTTTGTAATATGAATTCACCAATTAAAGGCTACATAAGATACACAAAGGAAAGAAAAGAAAGAAGAAAATGGAACACAAACAAGTTTAAAGTAAAAGCTGCCACAAGAAACCTTTTTATTCTTCATAAAAAAAAGTGTTGTGGACGTGGGTTTGCATTGTTTTTATAAGAGATACACCATGCAAAAGTTAAAGCAAATCAATGAAAAAAATTAAAATTAAATTAAATATATTCGAACTTTCAACAATCCTTCATAAAATTTGGATATTGATTCTTTTAGGTGAAACTGGGCATAAACCTTGCCTCAAACCTTTATTTATTTGTTTAGAGTATCCTTCGTCCTCTCTATAATATAATTTGATTATAAATCAAATATGAACATATAAATTTAAAGAAATCGTAACATTGAAAATTAGTGTATTACCTAGAAGAATTACTCCAAAGAGTGGTTGTGGAAGAGTAATCCATATCTTGTTGTACTGGTCTATCATTTAAGCTTCTTTGATCGGAAAATTGACGAATTCCACCATTGTTTCCGATTAGAGGTACATCATCTTCTCCAGATCCATCTGAAAGTCCTAAACCAAAAGTTAATTTATAAATTATTACTCCAAAATCAAATTACCCTCATATGCATGCAGACATTTAAGCTAAAAGCCTTAAAAGTCTTCATATATATATTTACACTTTAATCATAGAGAAACCATAGAAAGAAGGGTATTTACGGTAAAACAAAATTAAAAAAAAAAAGTAACAATAAAAAAAATCTCTGTAAAGTCACAATGGATAACATTCTCTTAAATAAAATAAAAAAAAAACAAAATAAATTAATACTTCAATATATAAAGATTAAGAAAAAAAATTATAAATGGTTGAAGAAATAGCAGAATGAAATGAATTACCAGAAGAAGCTGCAGGTTTGTCTGTAGTCTTAACAGTTCGATACATCTGGTAAGAACAAATCACAAATCTTATCAAACAATTTATCCTAATGAATCAAAATTAGTATACACATAGATGAAGAAAATTACAATTAAAAAAAAAATATAGATCTCGTTGTGAATATGTTAAATTCTGTCTGGTTTGAAGTTTGATTGTAAGAGAGATAGTTGCATTATTGGAAAATGATGACTTTTTTTTATGTTGTTGTCAGTTTATGTTTCTCTCTCCTCTCTCTTTCTATGACTATAATCAGAGACTGTTTTGTGTCTGGTCTTCTCAGATGATAAAGTCTTCTTCTTAGCATACACATTCATTTTCATTCATTCATTCACTTCTTTTCTTTCATTTTCATTGGTTACTGTGTCCAATTTCATCCACCAAGATAGAGAGAGAAACAAACCTGCAAATGGCTTTTTACATGAGCTAATGTGAGATCCTTCACATCCATCAGTTCAAGTACTGACTTTGGCGTTGCTCCTAAATTTCACCATCTAAATTAGATTAATGAGAAAAATAATAGAAAAAGAAATTAAGATAATGTAACACCCACCTAATAGTCTTTTGTTCTTATTAAAATAAAATAAAAGAGGAATAATTAATTTGAATAAAAAAGAAATGATTACTTTCATGGCCACCGAGAAGCTCGACGGCATGAACGAATCGAGCGTGAAGGGTACTCGTCCATCGCATTCTTGGCGCTCTCATGCTTCTTTTTGTTGGTAGTTTCGGTAAGAATCTTGATCTCATGGATGCTTCTGAGTTTCCGAGTCCGCCATAGTGTGAGTGATTATGATGATGAAGATGGTGCAATGGATATTGATGAGATTTGAACGGTTCGCTGTTGTTGAACCTGGTGGCTACAGCGGCTCGGTAAGCGGCCGCTGAGCCACTAGAGTTTAAGAACGACATGGGATCTAAGCTTCCTCCTGCAGCGATGTAGGGGGAAAGAGGTGAGGATGAAGAAGGAGGGGCTGTTGAATTTGGCATGTGGTGATATAAACACATCTTTGGATCTTTTTCTCTGGAATGTTCCATGGCTGGTAAAAAAGGGAATGAACGGTTGTGATAGACTGGGATTCCTTTAATCGGTCTTAACCCTTCCGAGGAGGACGAGGAGGATACGTCGAGCAATGAAACACCATAATTTATGTGATTCATTGAAGTAGAATTTGTTGTGGTACTCGTTGTAGTTGTCGAGTTGTGGTGGTGTTGAAGATTAGGGAAATGAGCTTGTTGGGTTTGATAATAAGGGTTATGTAGTTGTTGCTGCTGTTGCTGTTGTTGCTGATGATGTGATTCTTGAACACCACCGCTAAAATTTCTTCCAAGAGAAAGTTCAGTGTGAGCTTGAGCTTGAGTTTGAGCCGAAGTTCTTGACGAATTGCGAGGTTCATAATTGAGTAAATGAGATGTATCTATGTTGTTGGAAATCAAAGAGGAAGAAGAAGTACTTGGTGGACTTATGTGAAGAGAAAGATCAGGTTGAGTTTGGGTTGATGTTGGATTTGTTGGTTCAATGAAAATCCCTTCCAAGGGCATCTTCTTTAGAAAAAAAGGTGTTACTAAAAACTTGATATAATGGTACAAAGATATATATCAAAGACAAGAGGTTTTCTTTTTCTTCTTTCTCCTTTATTTAAATCAGATTAAACAAAAACAAAAAAGAAGTGCAATATTCACAAACAAGGAACTGTGAAAGCCTTTTGTTTAGTTCAAACTTCAAACTTCAAACTTCAAAGGCTTCAACACAATATTAAGGACTTTTTTGTGATTTTATTTTGTTCTTTTTTAAGGCTTTTCCTTGAAAAGAATCTGGAAAGATAGCTTACTCTCTAGCTATTTTATCTATCTGAGAAGAAGAAGAAAACCTTGTGAAACACTTTTGAATAAAATAAGATAAAAATTAGGAGAAGAAAAAAAGACACAAGATTGAAGAGAGAGAAAGTTAAGTTAAAAAAGAAGAGTGAGTCATAAGAGACAGAGTCAAGAGAAAGAAGAAGAAGAGAGCATGAAAGAAAGTGAGATGAGAGAGAAAGAGAAAGAAGATAGGAGAAGACTAGTGTTGTTGTGTTTTGCAGATGGAATGGAAGGGAAGGGAAGGAAAATAATAATTAATTTAAGAGGAAATAGTGAAATGGAAAAGAAAAGAAAAGAAAAGAAAAATATTCCAGAAAGGCATGGAAAAGAAAACAGGTGGATTTGCGTTTTGTTTTCCTCGAGAGTATATCTTGGAAAATGACACTATAGTGAGACGTATGATAAACAAACATTTTTATTTTTTAAGTCTTTCAGGAATTTAAATTAATTAAATATTTACAAATCAGAGACCATTAGAAGATAAGAAGAAGGCTTTAAAGTTTAATTAATATACAACTACATTCTTTAAAATTATTAAAATATAAATAGTACATGCATGATAGGATCTGAAGTAATAGCTCTCAAATTTAATATCATAACATTTACTGATGATCTTTTTTATATTATTATATATTGGTATTAGAAAATGACTTAGATTTAAAAATATTATAATTTATATCCATTTTTCTAAAATTAATGTTAACGAAAAATTATTTGAAAATTACTTTTAATTTATTTCATTGTTATATCAAATAATTTGAAATAAATATTAAATTATATAGGCATATTTATCATCAATTAATTCTATAATATGCCTAATATACATTAAAGAATTATCAAATTTGTAAATAAATTTAATAAACTTATGTCAGTTAATAAATTTTAGATTTAAGTATAGTTTTTTCATATTTTATCTCATTAACGTAATTAATTGTATATTTTAAATTTAAATAGTTTTGTTTTATCACATGTTTGCATTGAAAATTGTTAATTGCATGTTTATTTGTTAATAACATATAATTTATATTTATATTTTATTTTTAAAATTCTACAAAATATTAATTTATGATGATTTATCATATTTTTCAAATGACATGTAATTTAAAATGAACAGATCAATGATTTTGGAAGTAAAAAAAAAGTTAAATTCGTTAAAATTTTAAATAGGACTAATTTTATGAATAAATTAATATAAAGATCAAAATTATAATTAATAATTTTAATATATTTTATTAACTTAAGTGATACAAATAAGTATTTTTCAACTCACTCCAAAGATCCTATAGTGAACTAGCAACTAGATGTTTATTACTTTTGATATATACTACTTTTACAAAAATTAACTAAAAAAAGTTGCTTGTGTTGTTAAAATTGTTGAAAATATAAGTTGAAGGTGAATATATAATATACAAGTTCATCCGTTAATATTTATAGAAAAATATTTATTATAAAAATTAAGATGTAATATAATTAAATGTATGCTAGTAAAAAATAATTAATCTCCTTCAAAATTTGAAAGGATCTTAATCTTATATTAAAAGAAAAAGAAAAAACTCAAGAAAATTTTATATTAAAGTAATAAGTAGTTATTTTTTTATAATAAATCCTTATATTTTGTAATTTCTTCTTTCTATTTTTATAATAAATATTTAAAAGTATTATTAAAAAATTGGCTAGGTTAAATTTTGTATTTTTTAAATGAAATTTAAATCATTACAAATTGATAAAATAAAAAAAAAAATTAGTGTAGAGCAATCAATTTTTTTTACATAGATCAATCAAGTTTATATATTTTAAAATTTAATACACTTGTTTAACAAAAATATGATTTTTTTTTTACAAATCCTATTTAAATTTCTGTGAAAAAAATAATGTATAATATTTAAAAATGCATGAATACAATATATATTTTATAAACTTTAACTAATATAATTTAAAATAAATAAATAACAATACAATATAAAGGTTTAACCATCTATTTTAGTTTAAATTAAATCAAATACGTCAACATAATTTTTATTTATATTTCGTCACTGAAGTAGTGTACTAGCATTAGAAAAAACACAGAAATGCAGTGTTCATGTGCGATATATACTCCCTTGCTTATGTGGGAAAGATCGGTTACTGGACAATGGACAACGCCTTTATGTTGTTATTATTTTTATATTCTCAGGTCGGAATTGATTTTTATAATGTTCTGTATGTACTACTGGCTATACTATAGTATACTCCATTGAATAATAATTAAGTTACATTATATTATATGAAAAATACCATTGACTAAAGTGAGAGTGAGAAAGACCACACCACAAAGGGTTTTTTGTCCGTTTCTTCATTTGTATGCTTCTTCAAAACTAATGCTCCTTTATTAATGACATCCACATGCTGAGTTATACAATTACTCATATGTCTCTTTTTATGATTTTACTCCCTTTTGATAAGTACATTTTGAACCAAAAAATTCTTATACTTATATGTTATTTTCAAGTTACTAAATATATATATGTTATTTTCAAATAACTTTATGATTAATAACACTAAGGGTTTTTTTTTAAAGAAAATATTATTATGTTAATTGTAATTGTGTGCACTATATGATCCTTCTAGCTCAAAATACTGTGGTTGTATTTCTTGTGTTTGGTAGACTATGTATTAATATGTCTATATTAATTTAGGTATGTTGGGTTCTCCCTAAATCAAAACACTTTGTCTTAGAACTTGGATAGTATCGATTCAACATCCACTTAGCGTCAATGGATCTCAACACTCTTTGCATATAGCCTAGAGAATACTCAAACAAGAAAGGGTGAGGTCAAGCAAGAATCACAAGAGCTCACCAGGCTTAGGGCCGACTTAATGTAAAGGTCAAATACTAGCTCAACACATGAATGACTCACAATTCTTAAATAAACTTGTCAGACATTATGGCCGTCTTATGCTACGGGTATGATGTCATACCGACATCAATAACTCATTCATGTCTAATAAGTAAGGGTCTTGATAACTTCGACATACATGAGGCAGCAATGTTAAAGACTTTTGTGACTGTTAGGCTTAGACAATGGAACAACACTTAATGGTCGTTATGGTTGTCACTCAAAAGGAGAGACACAACCATAAACTATTATAAATATATTTATAAAAGCCAATAGGTAGTACAAGAAAAGCGATCTGCAATGTTACATACAATGTACATTTTTCCAGCACATTTAACGCCTACCCTAGGGCTCGTTAAAATTTACTTAGACCACGCCTTCTAAATTATTCCATAACAAGATCATTATTTCGTAATAGTGAGAAATACTGCATGTAGTTACAACAATGATCAGAGTTTCATTACATAAATGTTGGCCACTGCAAAGGAATTGTGAAGACAAAATGAAAATATGTAGGGAGATGTGAGCAACTTGTAGCAGCGAAAGCAACAACCAATCGTTATGAAAAGTAGGAATAGTTTCTTGAACCTCGACCTCTTTCCCTAAAGTATGTAATGCGCCTATCCCAGATGGTTTCAAAGCACCCTTGTTAACACCTTTTAATGTCAAATGTTATCCTTAGGAGCACATCACTGCTCTCAACACCTAGATGTCCATAATCATTATAGATGAATCACTCAAATGCAAAATTTTGACAGGAATACTCAAGGAGACAACACTAAGATGGTATATGAACTTGTTGGGGGGTTCTCTATAACCAACTACAAATACCTCGTCAAGAAATATACCATACTAGGGTCATTCCGTTGTAACTACGAGATGCAACCTAAGAGGAGGGTGAATTAGGTTTTCTAAATGTTTCTTGCTTTTGCGCACTATTTCATAACTTGCTATTTTAATGGAAGTTATGATTAAAATTTTTCTTTAAGATGAATGTAAAGTGAAAACTTCTAAAGGAATAAAGTTAAAGAACACAAGAGCATTATACTATTTCCTCTTATCAACCAAATCTAGTCCCTTTACTCGTTAGAGGATTATCCACAGCAAAATATTTAAACCCAACATTTGGAGAAAAACTCATATTTTCTCATTTCTTCTAATTGTGAAAGCGGAATTTGAGATAAAGTCCAAGAAGAAAAGAGATACACACGAAATAGAGAATGGAAGGAGAGAAGAAGGTTATCAAACTAGTGCATGCTTAATTTTAAATCACCTTGAAGAAGAATCAAGGAAAATTTTGAGAAAGGCTTCAATGTTTCATCATCGTCTTCACCTTACCACCTTCAATTCCGGGTTTTTAAAGGTGGAGTTCAACTTAAGCATTAATTTGGGTTAGATAAGCCAAGGATTGGTGTATGACGGGGAGTAGATGATTGTTTCATCATACTTTGTCTTGTGTGTGTTCATATGCTTGATGCTTGATGACCATAAAATTATGTATACGCTTCGTTAAGAGTTTCCAAAGCGTGATACAAATTATTTATCTCCTCTTCAAATTTTAAAATCATTTATTTTGGGAGAGAAATCTTCTTAAAAGAATTTATGGAATCATCATACATATCATTGAACGCTTTAGACAATTCACTATAAGACTACTCACTATTAGAATCGGAGTTATATACCTTTGAAGTTTCACCTTTCTTATGTTCCATCAAACATAGGTTGGCACACTCATCATCCGAACTTGAAAAACAATCAGAGGGGGAGCTCTCATCCTCTTCTTCCCGTGCGATATAGGCTATAAGA